AATTATACGACTGTTGCAAAAAAAAAAAACATTTTGCATTTAAGATAAAAAAAAGAAAACAATTTCGTCTCTCAATTTGCTCTATCCGAGCTGCTCAGTGGGGCAGTGGGCAGCACTGCTGCCTTGCAGCAGAAAGGTTCTGAGTTCAATTCCCGGGCTTGGAACTTTCTGCATCAAGTTTGCATGTTCTCCCTAAGCATGCGTGAGTTCTCTCTGGGTACTCTGGCTTCCACCCACAGTCCAAATACATGACTCTTAGGTTACAGTAATTGACTTCTCTAAATTGTCCTTAGGTGTTTGCATGAATGGTTGTTTGTCTCTGTGTTGCTCTGTCCAGGGTTTACCCCTCCTCTCGCCTGTAGACAGCTGGAGATAGGCACCAGCACCCCTTGCAACCACTCTTGGGATAAGCGTGACGGAAAGTGAATGGATGGATAGAATATGCTCTATCCAGAATTCCTCAAGTGCAAAAGATTTAGTTTTACCTGGGTTTAATTAAAAAAAATCTTTGGCCATCTGATTATTAATGAATTGATCGAAAAAAGAATCGACAGATGAATCAATTTGCTAATTAATCGTTAGTTGCAGCCCTAAAAAGTGCACATCCCTAGTTGGGCTGAAAGTCTTCTATAGTCTAACTTATCTGTAAAACTATATGTATTAATAGATATGCTTCAGTACAGTTAAGTATCAAAATGACTGTAGAAAAACCCAGAAGATTAATTACAAGGATCATCTACCATGTTAGACTGAACTACAATGGCTTAGAAAAGAGCATACCACTGTGTGTTGAATTCTTCATTTACTCCTGCGATGTATTTCTTGTGTTTTTCCCATTCCTTCCTCTCACATTCAGTCACCAGTTTGTCTGTAGGAACCATGGCGATCCCGATGCTCTCTGCGAACTTGTTTGCACCTCTGCCCGTCAGCATTACATGGGACGTCTGGAAATTTCCACAACAGCAAATATGTAGAAGAAATGTGAAATTTTTTTTTTTTTTAATTATGATTATAAGGAATGGCCTCCATGATTTTGGATTCTGAGCAGTGTTTAAAAGAACGTTTGTTGGATGTCTGGGAGTGAGATGGATCTGGTGGCAGAGGTGGCAGCTAGACAAACCAGTTGAACTCACTTTCAGGGACAAAAGTTAACTGAAAATGTCTGAAATGAGATCCTGTTGAGCAGATTTCTAAATCATGCCTTTAAGAAACTTTTATTATGCATCTAAATCTCTAAAGAAACCTCTCTCTATGAGGAACTACAGAGCACCTGCTCAAAGGTACATAGGCCTTCTGGCCAATGAATGAGTTGAAATGCTTAACTAATGTTAAGGATTACACTTCTGGAACCATTACCACATAATCTATGATAAGTGGCAGGCTTTTGTTCAGTCATTACATCCTAAAATAGAATGAACAGACGATGCTATTGTATTTTTCATTGTAATGAACAAAGATATTGGAAAGGATCTCATTCCATCGTACCGGTGTTTAAACCATAATTTCAATTCTGCTTTATCTTTTTGTTGAGACAGAAACAACAGGTAAAAACTAAATAATACAACAAAAATAACACAACCTTCTCCATGACTGCCCTTGCCAGTGACACAGGGTTAGCGATGTTCTTTACGCAAGACACTGAACCACAGGCAAGCGTCTTTCCATCCACTATAATGGCATCCAGCTGCACTTCTCCATCAATGTTTAGCGTTGCCCCATGCCCTAGAGGAAAAGGTTTGAAAATAAAAAAAATTAATGTGTGTTTGCAGAGGGAAATATAGCAGAATTCATGTTTGTTTCAGCTACAATTTCCTCTCTTGTCCACCAGGCAAGATTGAAGCTGATAAACTAGAGAGGAGAGATGTGAGCAATTAACCACCACTAATGCCCTGCTTCTTTGCTTTCCCCCTTGTCCACATCAAAATCTCCAGTCTCCAAACTTCAGAGGGGGAAATGACAAACCATAAAATATTGTAATGTTATTCATTTGATATGTATGGTGATATAGCCTTGGTGCCATTCCGAACTTAGTCCCGCCCACAAAATTTGAGGTCGGGAAGTTCGGTCTGGCTCTGCTCCATAGTAGCGCGAGTATTATCGCCCACTGTCAGGCGATCCAATCAAATTGTCAGCGCGGGCTTTATACGATGATGGACAGATGACCAACAGTAACGTAATCAACCACGTGACCAATGCACGCTTGGGTGACAACAATAATGGCTGCCGCTGGAGAGTTTAGGTGTGTAGATTCTGCTATTAGGTCTGTTCTAGAAGATATCGACAGCAAATTAATTTTAAAAGAGGAACAGGGAAACGCGATCAAGTCTCATCTTCTTATTATAGGCGTGCAACTGCACGCTTTGATTTTTGTGGACAACAACTATGCCTCGCTTAACATACGTCACGCACTCCGTTGCTCTTATTGGTTGTAGGTCTATCCAATTGAGTGCAGAGGCATTTTTTTTCCTGGTTCGTTCGAAACACGCCCCATAATCACAGCTCTATGGAGCAGTATCAGACTCATATTCTGACTAGAATTGAGTCGGACTACGTCAGGCTAATGGTGATAGGCCACAGATGGCAAAATTGGTAGCATTGCTGCTAACAGCATTTTTTTCAAGTCCTGACCTGGGGTCTTTCTGCATGAAGTATACATGTTCTCCTAGTGCAGGAATAAACAACCAAGGCAATGGGAGGGAAAAATGAAGTCCTAAAGAGTGCATTTCTTACCAGTGGAATTTAAAATATTATGATTATATATGGAGATTATTCAAATATTATTAAACACAAAAGGCAACACTGTTCCTGCAAGAAAATAAGGAGTACTAGTAGCTTATCAGCAAACAAGTCAATACGTGAGTCGGCTTTAATGCAGTATTAAAGTTCTATCATCCATACCATATCTATTTAATCTCAAAAAATAAAAAATGTGTCCACAATTTCCCCATTGTGGGATGATAAAGGGATTTTCTATTCTATTCTAAATCTGGGTTAGGCTCCAGTTATCAGCTGTTGTTATATTCAACCTTTTTCAGCTGAATTAAACATTATTCACTGGCTTTGGATTAACAAACATTGGATAATATGAAGGTAAACCTTGGCTTTAAAGTAATATTTAACTTAACAATTAAATGAATCATGCAACTGACCAAAGTTGGTTTATGCAGCAACTTGCGACTTTAACTGGGAAACCAAAAAACATGGATATGTGGGGATTTACCCCAGAACTTATTCTGATTCCTCACTTTCTTAAATTAGGGCCCATGTTTTTGTTATCCGATTTTTGTTTTAGATTTTAGATTTAGAATGCAAATGAAAAACAGTTCCCTTTTTCCATAAAGACAGGGCTGATAACTAAAAACAAATTAAGATGTATAAAATATTTTGCTGCTGTTTAAACTTGGACCAAATAGACTCATATAAGTTGGAAAAATAAATACAAAACCTGTTCTTATTTGTATTTTATACTTAGTCAAGGTCTCTCTGAGAGTTCATTAAACAGAACATCCATTTCCAGGGGTTTCTGTTTAGTTTTGATTTAATCCAAAGGGAATTGTTGAAGATAAAGCCTGTAAAAATCCCCTGAGAGAAATAATAATAACTCCACTGAGCTCCAATAGATATCAGTAAGAAAACTTGCAGATGGAGACAGTGTTCTGATAAATTTGAATAATATAATAATAAATAGTTATTGTCATTTATTTTCTACATTACTCGTGGATGAGGCATTCAACGTGCTGTGAATTCATACAAAGTAGTTTCATTTCATCCTTATGTGACAAACTGATCCGTTTTATGTACCTGCATTAAAGACTGGGTTGTCCTCCAAAGCCCTAACAGCAGCCTCAACAGCATCCAGCGCACTGCCTCCACTTCTAAGCACAGACGATCCATGCCGTGCAGCAGCTTTTACTCCTTGAACAGAAGCTGGGGCCAGCTCCTCTGGAATAGCCCAGGCACCACCATGAACGACCAACACTGCTGACATATTTCAGCTCTTGCAGGATAAGGTGGACTCTAAAGTATATGGTGTATTAAAGACACAAACAAGAAAGTCAAAATAATCTCAATACATTTTCCATAATATGTATGTGGCATGATGCATATTATACAAGTGATTCTAATTTATACTGTACTGCACTTCTACAAATGTTGTTATAGTCGTCTCAGTGGCACCTTTGATCAAAGGGCATAAAAAACTCCAATGTAGCTACTGATAGAAAAAGCAGCAATGAACTTTGAAATTTGAACTGAAGGTATGTCATTTATCTACAGAAACAGCTGCGCTCCTACATGTTTTATACACTGTGTCCTATAAAAACGCAGCTATATCATGTTTAGTTTGGGTTTATTTATTACCAAGGCAAGTATTAGCAGTGCGACCTAACTCATATGGTGGAATCAATATACAATTTTGTACATTCAGGCATTACTATTTAACTAAACACTGTTTACACACAGGATTCAATTCAATTTAGTTTATTCAGTTTATATCGCCAATTCACAACATGTGGCATCTCAAGGCAATATACAGTTCACCAGATCATACAGTCAGATTGATTCAAAGTTTTCTATCTAAGGAAAACCAGTTGATTGCATCGACTCATTGACTCGAATGCAATCCCTCACGCTAAGCATGCTTGTAGCGACAGTGGAGAGGAAAAACTCCCTTTTAACAGGAAGAAACCTCCAGCAGAACCAGGCTTAGTGTTAGCGACCATCTGCCGAGGCTGTCTGCAGTGATGGGGTAACGGCGTTGAAAGTAACAATGTTACTAACGCCGTTACCTTTTCTAGTAATCTAACTAATTACTTTGACTGTACCTATAACGCAGTTACCATTGCCGACATCCCGTTACTGCAAATTACTCAGGTTGCACAATTAACCTTTTTTTCATTACAGGAGGATGAGATTGGCTGATGTATAGTGAGATTACATCTGTCAGTTGGGTAGGTGGGTTTTTCCGCTGGCGGGTGTTAATGTACAGCACACACAGAGAGATGGAGAGGGAGGAGGACTCCAGTGGCAAAAAAACGTTTACCAGATGGAAATACCAGCTGTACGTGGAGCTATGTTTTCCCATCAGATCCGGTTTCCCCTGCATCTACGCACAGCACAGGCAGCACGATTCACAGCGCAAGCGACAGGAAACGCGCGTGCTCGCTAATGCCCGTGCCACAGGGGAAATACGGAGAGCATGAACGATCAAATGTATGTGGAGAAAGGGAGAAATCGGGATGGATGGATCTATAACAACCCAAACACCCAGGATTTCAGAATTAGACATCCCCAGTTATTAATTTCATACACTCACCAGATCTGAACGCCCTGTTAAAAAACTTGATACCCATGAGTAGAGGTAATGCAGCCTGATGATATCTACTACCTGACGGGGTTTAGAAGCCCACCAGATAGCGTTCCCCGCATGTTAAGCAGGGGGAACGCTATCTGACGGGGTTTATAGGCCCATCAGATAGCGTTCCCCCCAGATGTCATTTACGTTGAGTTGCAATAAATGCAAAACTCTGCAGGTACTCGTCTTAGTCGTCCACTCTATTCAGCTGGCTTTTGAAACACACGGGGAGAAGGTGAGGGTTACGGGGGCGAGAAATGCAAAAGTAAAGCAATAGTTACTTTTACTAGTAACTAGTTACTTTTATTGTGGAGTAACTCAGTTAGTAACTCAGTTACGTTTTGGGAGAAGTAACTAGTAACTATAACTAATTACTTTTTCAAAGTAAAGTAACGTGCCCAACACTTGCCGTCTGGGGTTCAAGGGGATCTCTACCACATAAAAAATAAAAAAAGGGCAGACCTAAAAATTCAGGCCTGGGTTTCACCAACTCTCTAATGATTGTTTCTGTTATAATGAATATCTTGCTATTTTGCAAGAACCACATTTGTGGTGAAATATTACCTCAACATCCAAAAACAAACAACACTGTAGATGTCACTGTGACCCTGATAAAGATAGGGGTTTGTTTGGAGCAACATTTAGAGCAGATTTTTTTGTATTGACACTGAGCATTTATTAATAGATGTCCTTCAGTGTTTTTTCATCCTATCTCAATATAACAAACTGGTAAATGATAAAAGCTTGATGGAGTTTTTGAAATGTAAGAAAATTAAACAGCTTTACTTTTTTTCACTCTGTTTATAGATAAAATCATTTTTATAATTCAGGACCAAAGGGATAAATACAGTACAAAAACACTGACAGGAAAATTCGCTTTTTATTATGAATGCAAACTTTTGATGGTTATGGCACATAGAGCTGAATCACAAAGCAGGGCAGCCAATGATCCACCATCTTTATGAAGGTAATAAAATAAGGGAACTCTTATTATATATTTATGAGCTTTTTCAAACAATTTTTCCATAAATGCCTGGTCTTATCTGTGTCCTTGTGATAGTGTAAATGCTTAGCAATCATTCACCAGGTAAAATCATAAGATCTCCCCCAACAGGTTGAGAGGGCTTTAAAGTAAAATCTGGAGACTGATGTTGGCATGTCATTTGAACATTCTAATGTTAAATTAATTTAGCATAAACAAACAGCAGAAACAAGAACACAGATCATATACTAACATAAAGCAGTAATGAAAACAGAAACCGCTTACAAAGATTTGCATACACTTTATAGAAATGTAAGGAATATCTGGAGGTTTGGGCTGGTGTCCCTTTGTCTGCAATGCATCTTCATCAAGCCTACTGTAAATGTGCAAATGAAAGATACATGTTTGATCCCACTATGTAAAAGGCACCTTGATTGAATTATGATCTTAAAGTTTATTTTCCAGTGTTAAGTCTGCACAATGGTTGTACTGATCTGCGCCATGTTAGCCATTAAATGGTCCTAATCCTACTTTGCAATGCATTTCGTATCGTTTATAGGCTACAGAAGCGAAAGTTATATTTTGACGTACCTGTTACGATTTTCAAACCTCTTTGAAAGAGACGGTCGGTTGAACCCCTGAGAGAGCGAGAGGGATTTGCCAAATCGCACGTGCTGAATACTGACGTGACGTCTTATGTAATCTATAACAAGACTTCCGACAGGACCATTTCTAAATGTGCAGGATTGTGCATGAAATCCCTCCATGCACAATCCTGCAAACAATAACTGCTCAATAACTGGAGCAGCAAAAAAAAAAAAAAAAAAAAAATTAGTATTGTAAATTGAATCCCCTATAAAACATTCAACATATGCAGTGTTCGAAGACCAACAAAATATCTTTGGAACACAAGAAAACAAACTATTAGACATGTAATTATGTAAAATATCTTCAGGGATTTTTTTGTTTTTCTAGGCCAATAAAAATAAAGCAAAATAAAGAGAACTGGCTGCAAACAGATTTGATTGTCACTGTATATTTGAGGGAGACTCTTGTGAAATACAAAGACATAGATTCTAACTTTAGGGGACTGAAAAAGAACTAGAATTTTTATACATGATCAAATTTTACAGAAATTAAAGATTATAAGCTATTTACAGTTGATTCCTTTTCAGCCTTGTTCGAATGTTATGTGTAGTGTTGTCTTTTCATCAGTAGAGGGCGTGATGCTATTGACATCATGTCTGACATCAGGTACAACTGTGTGCCGTTTGAATGTGTAGTGTTGCTCGTTGACCATTAGAGGTCAGCACAAACACGTTGAATTAATAAAGAAATGAATGTAAGAGTATAGAGTTGTAGCGAATAGAGTTCAGGTCAAAATAGAGCAATAGATCTTATAATTAAATGAATAAATATCGACTTCCAAGTTAAGACTTCAACTATCTATCAGAAGCTGCAAAATTCACAGTTACACCACAAATAATTAGCAAAGTAATAATAGTAATACATTTTGATATTGTGATAATGTAAAAAAAAAAATCTGTATGAATAATTGTAACTATAAATCATTAAAGTGAATGGAACTTTTACAGTTTGCATCTAAAGGTCCCACTGCTTTGGTCTATTGATTAGACTATGTTGAAACCAAGGGCGTAGGTTTGATTTGAACTTTGGTAGGGACACTATTGGTCTGGTGTCATTGGTGCTATGCAATATGCATGCCCTTTTTTATGCTCGATGCGAGCATCTGTACTGATAAGAGGAATTCATTGTTTAAAGAGAAAAGCAACATTTTGCTCCATTAATAAAAATGTTATAAGCTCTACACTCATTAGATGCTGTTTATTAATGTTTGAAGTATCACCGGCTCTGATCAATGTGGAATTAGGACTGTTTTCCACTTTGAAAACGGTTTCATTTGAACGACTAAGAGAGAAGGTAAATACAGTATTTTCTTCTGAAGATATAGAATTGTGCAGAGTTAAACCCCACTCTAATATTTGTACCTACTATTCTCTCTCTGTATCAAGCAAAAATAATACATTCATTAAAATATTAACTTCACTATAAAAGTTGAACATCTGGGCTGTAGTTACTCTGTGTCGCACATTTCATGTATTTCATCTGGGGCTGAAAAAAATGAATCATATTAATTGATTATTTCAATAATCGTCAACTAATTTAGTAAGTGATTCATCATTAACTGGAGACTTTAAAACATACAGTAATATAAATGTAAAATGTGCCTTTCCCCACAGAGCAACCCACTTAGATCAGTTATTATATCAAAATTGTAAAAATAAAAACAAAAAAATGAAAACAGTAATATCAACTTAATATCGGTAAAAAGGAAACCCTCACATTTTCTTTTTTAGTTGGCTGTGGCTAAGAATCAGAAATGTTGATGGATTATTCCAGACGAGCTGGCCCCAGCTTCTGTTCAAGGAGTAAAAGCTGCTGCACGGCATGGATCGTCGGTGCTTAGAAGTGGAGGCAGTGCGCTGGATGCTGTTGAGGCTGCTGTTAAGGCTTTGGAGGACAACACCGTCTTTAATGCAGGTACATGAAACAGATTAATTTGTCACGTAAGGATCAGATGAAACTACTTGGTATGAATTCACAGCACGCTGAATGCCTCATCCACAAGGAGTTGTCATGATGGGTTCTCTTAGAGTAAAGCCCAAGATGCAGAACACACACAGAGGCACTGGTAAAAAGTCCAAAGAGTTTATTTTAAGGCACAAGCACGAGAATAACAGTTCAGGCAGGAGGCTGGTTCACTGGGGTCTGAGCAGGGAAAGGGAGATGGCTGGTAGCTGAGCTTCCAGCTCACTGCAGGGAAACAACAGGGGAAATCCACATGGGAACCTCTTGGGGAAACTCCACAGGGAAGTCGACAGGTATCATCCACGTAGGATTCTTGGGGTGGCTCACCAGGGCAGATTAGCTGGTTAACTCTCCTAGAGCTTTAGGCTTGAAACTGGTTCCCTGTGATGCAACTCTCCCAGAGCTGCAGGCCAGAGACAGGTTGCCAGAGAGACAGTTCTTCCAGAGCTTCACTAGGAGACAGGAGGTTAAGCTCATCCAGAGCTTTCACGAGGAGACAGGAGGTTAAGCTCATCCAGAGCTTTCACGAGGAGACAGGTGGTTAAGCTCAACCAGAGCTTTCACGAGGAGACAGGTGGTTAAGCTCAACCAGAGCTTTCACGAGGAGACAGGAGGTTAAGCTCATCCAGAGCTTTCACGAAGAGACAGGAGGTTAAGCTCATCCAGAGCTTCACGAGGAGACAGGAGGTTAAGCTCATCCAGAGCTTTCACGAAGAGACAGGAGGTTAAGCTCATCCAGAGCTTCACGAGGAGACAGGAGGTTAAGCTCATCCAGAGCTTTCACGAAGAGACAGGATTCCTGTGAGGCAGAAACAAGGAAGAATTAGAATCTGATCTCACACGAGAGATAACAAAGATTCATCTGTAACAGAGGCTCAGGAAGCTAACCAACTAAGATCAACACTGCGGCATGGAATCAAGGACAGGCAGGAGCTTATAAAGGAGAGGTCTTCTGATAAGAGGATTAGGAACAGGTGTGCAGGAAAGTTCCAGCTCCAGAAGACCCACAGCGCATCCTGCTGGAGACAGAGGGTAAACTCCAGATCCCCACAGTAACTCCAACCCTAAGGGAAAAACAAAGAGAGCAGAAAAGGATCCTCGGCGCCCTCTGGTGGGCAAGCCTGAGGATCCCAACAGAGCCCCCCCCTCAAGGGCGGATTCCAGACGCCCCCAGAAAAAGTCCAACAAAAACAAACAAAAAACAACCCACTCAGGGTGGGCGAAGGGGGCACTAGGGTGAGGAGGGCCAGAAACCACAAAAAACAGAGTCCAGAAAACAAAAACAACCCACCCAGGGCGGGCGGAGGGGGCACTAGGGCGAGGAGGGCCAGAACCAACAGAAAAGAGAGTCCAGAGAGAAAAGAGTCCAGAACAAAAAAACGATCCACTTATGGTGGACGAAAACAAATGAAAACCCAAAAACCTTCTTGGGCAAAGTCTCTGGTGGCCAGCCTAGGGGTCGGCAGCGGGACTGAGTCTCAGATGACCGGCCAAGGGACTGGCAGCGGGACAGAGTCTCAGGTGGTCGGCCGAGGGACCGGCAGCAGGACACAGTCTCAGGTGGCCTGCCGTGGGGCCGGCTGCAGGACACAGTCTCAGGTGGCCTGCCGTGGGGCCGGCTGCAGGACACAGTCTCAGGTGGCCTGCCGTGGGGCCGGCTGCAGGACACAGTCTCAGGTGGCCTGCCGTGGGGCCGGCTGCAGGACACAGTCTCAGGTGGCCTGCCGTGGGGCCGGCAGCAGGACACAGTTTCAGGTGGCCTGCCGTGGGGCCGACGGCGGAGGCGTAGTTGCTGCTCAGGAGGTCGACCGTTGAGATGATGGTGGAGCAGCGTCTTAGGGGGACCACCGCCGGGCCGGAGACACGGTTGAAGTTCAGGTGACCGGCCTACGATCCGGCAACGGAGCAGAGTCTTAGGTGGCCGGCAGCGGGGTCGAAGGCGACGCTGACACTCTGGGGGTCTGCCGCGGGGCCGGAGGCGAAGCTGACGCTCTGGAGGCCTGCCGCGGGGCCGGAGGCGAAGCTGACGCTCTGGAGGCCTGCCGCGGGGCCGGAGGCGAAGCTGACGCTCTGGAGGCCTGCCGCGGGGCCGGAGGCGAAGCAGCTTATCAGGAGGATGACGCCCAAGCTTCAACAGGTACCCCCACGGGGTACCCCGTCCCCTCCTCGGCAGCTCAGGAACAGTCTCAGAAACAGCCGCCGACTGCGGCTCAGGAGGAGGCTCAGAGGAGAACGCCGATTGCGGCTCTGGTGGAGGCTCTAGGGAGACCGTCGAGTGCGGCTCTGGTGGAGGCTCTAGGGAGACCATCGAGTGCGGCTCTGGAGGAAGCTCTGGGAAGACCATCGACTGCGGCTCTGGAGGAGGCTCTGAAGAGGCCGCCGACTGCGGCTCTGGAGGAGGCTCTGAAGAGGCCGCCGACTGCGGCTCTGGAGGAGGCTCTGAAGAGGCCGCCGACTGCGGCTCTGGAGGAGGCTCTGAAGAGGCCGCCGACTGCGGCTCTGGAGGAGGCTCTGAAGAGGCCGCCGACTGCGGTGCAGGAGCAGGGGAGCCCGCCGATTGTGGCTCCCGATCAGGAACAGGGGAGCCCGTCGATTGCGGCTCCCGATCAGGAACAGGGGAGCCCGCCGATTGCGGCTCCCGATCAGGAACAGGGGAGCCCTCCGATTGCGGCTCCCGATCAGGAACAGGGGAGACCAACGACAGTGGCTCCCAATCAGGGACAGGGGAGACCATCGACAGTGGCTCCAACTCAGGAACATGTGAACCCAATGACAGTGGATCCGTCTCAGGAGCAGGTGACACCACCGACTGTGGTTCACCATCAGGAGCAGGAGGGACCACTGATTGCGGTACAGCCTCGGGAGCAAGTGGGATCACCGACTGTGGTTCCACCTCTGGAAACGAAGGGATCACCCATGGAGGCTCAAGTTCAGTCTCTGAGGTGGCTTGGGGTGTCGGTGGAGGGTCCCTGGTGATTAGAGGCCTTCGCTGAGGGACTCTTGGAGGCACACTTTCACCAACACAAAATTCTGAAGTTCTCTTAAATGTATGCTCTAGGGTCTCTGGACGGCACAGTGTAGGCTCAGGGGTCTCTGGACGACACAGGGCTAACTCAGGGGTCTCTGGACGACACAGGGCTAACTCAGGGGTCTCTGGACGGCACAGGGCTAACTCAGGGGTCTCTGGACGGCACAGGGCTAACTCAGGGGTCTCTGGACGGCACAGGGCTAACTCAGGGGTTTCTAGCCGGCTCAGAGCGTGCTTACGGCGACGCCGTCTCTTACATCGGGGGGTCTTAGAAGTTAAACTGACGGGTTCACTGATTGGATCTGGCGATAAATAAACCGGTTGAAACGTGAGGGTACCAGAATGAATAACATGATCAGAAGCTAAGGGATCAGGCACAGGGTCAGGTTTAAAACTATCCAGGTTAATTACTAGTTCAGGATCAGAATCTGGCTGGTGTGGAACTCTGACTGATGGACGTGAAACTGGTGGACTAATTTTGAGGTTTTTAACGGATGAACTTAAATGGTGGTCAAGAACATGGGAACTAAGGCTAAACCGGCGCAGAGAGGAGTTGAAACTGGTTTGAAATGCTAGATCTAATCCTATGGCTAGTTCAATGAGGTCTTCGAGGCTAGGTGGCTCGACGTAAAAGGAAAGCTCGGTTCTGACAGATTCATTTAAAGCTACAAGGAAAGCTGACTTGAGTGCAGACTCGTTCCACCCGGAAACGGCTGCTCTACTCAGGAAATCGGAAGAAAATTCAGCTATGGACCTATTACCCTGTTTTGAATTCAGAAGGCAACTAGAAACGGAGAAACTAGAGGACTGAGTAAAGGTTTTTTCTAACTCTCGGATGAATCTTTCATATGTGCAGTTTGTTCTGGTTTTAAGCGGAAATTTGGTCTCCGCCCATTCGAGGGCTTCACCAGACAGAAAGGAAATAATAAAGGCTAACCTATCCTTATCAGAACGAAAATTAGAAGCGTGAAAACTAAAAAATAACCGACACTGAAATAAAAATCCCTTGAGCTTACTTGGGTCGCCAGAAAATCTCTCAGGTAGAGGAGGACCGGGTGACGAAAACGATGGGATGAGTTCAGACCAGAAAGGAGGGTTATCATCTTGACTCGGAGGTGACGGACGGAATTCCGGAAGTGACGAATCCGGAACCGGAAGTTGAACTGGCGCCATCTTGTGATTCCCACGAAGCTTGTGGGATCTTGAAACGAGTGTTTTCTTTAAGTCAAACGGGGATTTTAACTCACGGAGGGACAGAGTGTGATCAGGAGTAGGAGCGTCCTGTTTCTCAGAGCTACGACGGAGGTGATCTGCTGGGCTTTGTGTTTGGCCGCAGTGTTCTGTCATGATGGGTTCTCTTAGAGTAAAGCCCAAGATGCAGAACACACACAGAGGCACTGGTAAAAAGTCCAAAGAGTTTATTTTAAGGCACAAGCACGAGAATAACAGTTCAGGCAGGAGGCTGGTTCACTGGGGTCTGAGCAGGGAAAGGGAGATGGCTGGTAGCTGAGCTTCCAGCTCACTGCAGGGAAACAACAGGGGAAATCCACATGGGAACCTCTTGGGGAAACTCCACAGGGAAGTCGACAGGTATCATCCACGTAGGATTCTTGGGGTGGCTCACCAGGGCAGATTAGCTGGTTAACTCTCCTAGAGCTTTAGGCTTGAAACTGGTTCCCTGTGATGCAACTCTCCCAGAGCTGCAGGCCAGAGACAGGTTGCCAGAGAGACAGTTCTTCCAGAGCTTCACTAGGAGACAGGAGGTTAAGCTCATCCAGAGCTTTCACGAGGAGACAGGTGGTTAAGCTCAACCAGAGCTTTCACGAGGAGACAGGAGGTTAAGCTCATCCAGAGCTTTCACGAAGAGACAGGAGGTTAAGCTCATCCAGAGCTTTCACGAGGAGACAGGAGGTTAAGCTCATCCAGAGCTTTCACGAAGAGACAGGAGGTTAAGCTCATCCAGAGCTTTCACGAAGAGACAGGAGGTTAAGCTCATCCAGAGCTTCACGAGGAGACAGGAGGTTAAGCTCATCCAGAGCTTTCACGAAGAGACAGGAGGTTAAGCTCATCCAGAGCTTTCACGAAGAGACAGGAGGTTAAGCTCATCCAGAGCTTCACGAGGAGACAGGAGGTTAAGCTCATCCAGAGCTTTCACGAAGAGACAGGATTCCTGTGAGGCAGAAACAAGGAAGAATTAGAATCTGATCTCACACGAGAGATAACAAAGATTCATCTGTAACAGAGGCTCAGGAAGCTAACCAACTAAGATCAACACTGCGGCATGGAATCAAGGACAGGCAGGAGCTTATAAAGGAGAGGTCTTCTGATAAGAGGATTAGGAACAGGTGTGCAGGAAAGTTCCAGCTCCAGAAGACCCACAGCGCATCCTGCTGGAGACAGAGGGTAAACTCCAGATCCCCACATTAAAACTCCAACCCTAAGGGAAAAACAAAGAGAGCAGAAAAGGATCCTCGGCGCCCTCTGGTGGGCAAGCCTGAGGATCCCAACAGGAGTGTTGTGCAGATGCCATTTTTTGGCCCCGATACCGATACCCGATACCTGGCTGTGCAGTATCGGCCGATACCATAATAATGTAAAATAATTGCCATCATGCTTTGTCAAGCTGCTGCCTACCTTTGTGAAGCAGGAAAAAATCTAATACAAAGTGAATCCAGTAGAACTTTTTATTGCCTACCAGGAGTGGGTGACAATAGTTGAATAAACGTATGGCTCTCAAAATGGTATCGGTGCCCTCTTAGTTGGTACTTGCTGATACCGATACCACCATTTTAGGGCAGTATCGGGGCCCCGTCCGATACTGGTATCGGTATCGGTGCAACACTATCCACAAGTAATGTAGAAAATAAATAACAATAACTTTATTATTATATTATTCAAATTTATCAGAACACTGTCTCCATCTGCAAGTTTTCTTACTGATATCTATTGGAGCTCAGTGAGGTTATTATTATTTCTCTCAGGGGATTCTTAAAGGCTTTATCTTCAGCAATTCCCTTTGGATTAAGTCAAAACTGAACAGAAGCCCCTCGAATTTGATGTTCTGTTTAATGAACTCTAAGAGAGACTTGACTAAGTATAAAATACAAATAAGAACAGGTTTTGTATTTATTTTTCTAACATATATGAGTCTATGTGGTCCAAGTTTAAACAGCAGCAAAATATTTTCTACATCTTAATCTTTTTTTAGTTATCAGCCCTGTCTTTATTGAAAAACGGAACTGGTTTTCATTTGCATTCTAAACCCCGTGTCACTGGCAAGAGCAGTCATGGAGAAGGTCATGTTATTTTTAATCTATTATTTAGTATTTAGTTTTAACCTGTTTTTGTTTCTGTCTCAAAGAAAGATAAAGCAGATTTGAAATTATGGTTTAAACACTGGCAAGATGGAATGAGATTCTTTCCAATATCTTTGTTCATTAAAATGAAAAGTACAATAGCATCGTCTGTTCATCCTATTTTAGGATGTAATGAGTGAATAAAAGCCTGCCACTTATCATAGATTATGTGGTAATGGTTCCAGAAGTGTAACCCAGAAGTCCTTAACATTAGTTAAGCATTTCAACTCATTCATTGGCCAGAAGGCCTATGTACCTTTGAGCAGGTGCTCTGTAGTTCCTCATAGAGAGAGGTTTCTTTAGAGATTTAGATGCGTAATGAAAGTTTCTTAAAGGCATAAATCAGAAATCTGCTCAATATGATCTCATTTCAGACATTTTCAGTTTACTTTTGTCCCTGAATTCAACTGGTTTGTCTAGCTGCCACATCTGCCACCAGATCCATCTCACTACCAGACATCCAACAAACGTTCTTTTAAACACTGCTCAGAATCCAAAATCATGGAGAACATTCCTTATAATCATAATTTTTCTTTAAAATAAATGTAACATTTCTTCTAACTATTTGCTGTTGTGGAAATTTCCAGATGTCCCATGTATGCTGACGGGCAGAGGTGCAAACAAGTTCGCAGAGAGCATCGGGATCACCATGGTTCCTACAGGTAAACTGGTGACTCAATATGAGAGGAAGGAATGGGAAAAACACAAGAAATACATCGCAGGAGTAAATGAATAATTCAACACACAGTGGTATGCTCTTTTCTAAACTATTGTTGTTCAGTCTAACATGGTAGATGATCATTGTAATTAATCATATGGGGTTTTCAACAGTCATTTTGATACTTAATTGTACTGAAGCATATCTATTAATACATACAGTTTTACAGATAATCAGAGGCGTGCACAGACATTTTGGGGGGCAGGTGCTCAGGAGGGGGGGGGCACTTTTTAGCGCACGTGTAACACTTAATTATAAAAAAAAATAAACGCATGTTGAATGAAATTTGACTTTTATTTGTAACATTCTCTAAACGTGAGTTTTCAATGGAAAAAAGTCACATCACCAACAGAACAGACTAAAGCATACTTCTTTCATCTGGCTCATCTCCCTGTTTTCCCTCACCCATCTGTTCTCCCTCATCCTGGTCTTTTTCTGTCTCTGTGTCTTCCCTGAACTCTTCCTCATCTCCTGTCCTGGTAGATGTTGATGGTATAGAGCTTCCCTGCTGTGACTGGCAACAATATATTAATAATAACCATCATGACAATAATAATAATAATAATAATAATAATAGTGATAATAATGATAATAATAATAATAGCTTTAACAAATATGCCACATTAGTTTAAATAATGGGCTATTAGGGCAACATGACTGGAAGTCTTGTCACGTGGATATGACTTATGGTAGCCTACAAAATAATAGCTATTTTAATACCTGCTGCACAAACCACTTAAAAATAAAATGTGAACAGCTTTTAAGATTTTTCAATATGATAAACCTTCCTTTCTTGGCATTGTGCTGCAATTACTAAATCAATATACAATTAAGACAATAAAGAGACCAAAATGTGTTAATTTATGTTGCCTAACAAAACCTATACAACAGAAAACGTTTGTCTTAACACATAGATTTGTACAGAAGAGGATTAGGGCCACTGAAAAAAAAAAAAGTTAACTGATTTTTAAATTTTATTTCAGTTTAACATGGGAAAAAAGTCAGAATTCTGACTTTTTTATTGTCAGAATTCTGAGATTAAAGTCAGAATACTGAGCAAAAAGTCAGAATTCTCAGCAAAAAGTCAGAATTATGAGAAAAAAGTTAGAATTATGAGATTAAAGTCAGCATTCTGACTTTTTTCCCATACTAAACTGAAATAAAATTTAAAAATCAGTTAACTTCATTTTTTTTTTTCAGTGGCCCTAATCCTCTTCCGTAGATTTGCAATTGCAAACTCTACCAAAATTATTTGTAGCCTATGTGGTCGTCCTCACGTTATCTGTCATTGACTTGGGCTAGTGTAAAACTTTCAGAATCAGAATCAGGTTTATTGCCATTGTTAGTGAAGGAGTTCACAAACTAGGAATTTTTTATGGTACAATCGTGCAACATGAAACATATAATATGGAATAGGTAAATAAAATTATAAAAATATCTAAAAACTGTGGGTATACGTCATGCAATAAAATAGACTAATGTATACACTTAAGATAAAAAATATGGATACAAAATATAAAAAGTAAAATAGCATCTTACAAGGAGACAACTAGTTTATCTGGTGACCAGTTGGCAAAATGCGTGTTTGGTGCTGCTGAATGAGACATTTTAATGCACAACAAAATGCAAGATTCTGCTTGATCTGTATATTACCTGGCTAATGGGGCACGGGAGAAGCAGCCTGTCAGCGACCGTTCCTGCTATCTGAAAACTGCTATGATGCTGCGCATCTGGCATGCCCTGCGGGCGACCGAGCGAGTTCACGTGACAAAGGAAGAGAGAGAGGCTGGTCGGGTGTGCGCAAGTAGGTCGGTCATTTCGGGGCATTGTTTCAGTCGTTTTTAATGGCTCAGGTTTTCAAAAGATCATTTCAAAACCGACCTCAGTAAAATCTTAATAATATTAATAATAATAAAAAAAAAACGAGTTTCAAAAGGGCATTTTCTTTGATAGAGGGCAAACTTCCTAGTGCTTTAGCACCACCTAGTGTCTATGTGTGCACGCCCCTGCAGATAAGTTAGACTATAGAAGACTTTCAGCCCAACTAGGGATGTGTAATTTTTAGGGCTGCAACTAACGATTAATTAGCAAATTGATTCATCTGTCGATTCTTTTTTCGATATATTCATTAATAATCAGATGGCCAAAGATTTTTTTATTAAATTAAACCCAGGTAAAACTAAATCTTTTCCACTTCAGGAATTCTGGATAGAGCATATTCTATCCATCCATTCACTTTCTGTCACGCTTATCCCAAGAGTGGTTGCAAGGGGTGCTGGTTCCTATCTCCAGCTGTCTACTGGCGAGAGGAGGGGTACACCCTGGACAGAGCAACACAGAGACAAACAAGAAAAACCACCATTCATGCAAACACCTAAGGACAATTTAGAGAAGTCAATTAACCTAAGAGTCATGTTTTTGGACGGTGGGAGGAAGCCGGAGTACCCAGACAGAACTCACGCATGCTCAGGTAGAACATGCAAACTATTGACCACAATGATGTTGTAATGAAGATTGACATGTTGTAGAGGATTTGGACCAATTTAAAAACGTGTCTATGTATACAGAGTAAGAATTTCATTTTTAAGTTGAAATAAACTGTTTTTTTATTCAAGGGCCCACAATACTGTTGGGGCTGTAGCTCTGGACTCTGCAGGGAACGTTGCATGTGCAACATCCACTGGAGGGATCAGAAATAAAATGGTTGGCAGAGTTGGAGATTCTCCTGTCATTGGTATGTTATTAACAGTCCAAAGGGACATAATCTGTTAAAGCAATTTTGTCCCAATTTCTTTTTAAAATAGATAAATAGAAATCCTTTCTCATCACGCTGCATTTCTATCTATAAATGAAATTAGAAATAGATCATCCAAACTGCATTTTCATTTCCTTCTCCAAGACTCCTCAATTTGTAAATCAGTTAAATGAGACAAAATAATGTTTTACATGTAATTTTTAACATTTACCCCTCACATCAGAGAACCAACAATATCTCTGATAAGGTGGGTGTCATATGGATCCAACCGTCTTAAGTTACAGAGGTGAGTTTTTGTGAAGGGCAGCTCACAAGGATCATGCCAAATGCTATACATTGACCTTAAAAATAATTTGATAAATCTCATATTAAACAAATACTTCGGTCAAAACTTATTCAGTGTTGCTTTAATGATTACTATTGTAAAATACTTTTTTATTTTACACACCTTAGTTGGGAAAAAAAATCATCTACCAAAAAACACCAATAAAAAATAGAAAACTGTTTTACGGGTGCATTTCATTTTCTAATTAAAAAAAATACATATAATAAAAACAAAATCTTCTAAAGGGACAGTTTCTCTTTCAGCTTCTTTTTTGGGTCTATTCCAAACCACAGCACATCATCTTCAGCAGCAGCCCAGGCCATCCGCTTGGTGGTGAATGTAGCAGCCCACTGCCCTGATGGAGAAACTACAATGGCACCACCTGCTCCTTGGACCCGATCACCCATGTGCTGCAGGGACAACTGTGAGGCATCTTCTACAGACTTCCCTGTGACGGAGCAAAGAAATGAAAGAGAAATCATGTCTATTTGTTTACACTAAGAACCTTGTTTATTTACTGTAATCTGTACTTGGTTCTCTTCTCGTGTTTTTGCTAATTTAGTCTGCTCTATGTCATCATTCTATGGTTATCTTCATTTGAGAGGAACTACTTAACACCAGACAGCAATCTCTAGTTATTTTTCTAGTTTTTATTCCCCCAACTTCACTGAGATCTTGGTTGATGGCCCAACAAACCTTAATTGGAATTACCAGCAACTTAAATACAGTAAACAGACAGAATTGTTCTTAGGCTGTGACAGCAGTGACTCCAGACTCCCTTGTCTTCAATCTATCTGACAGGTGTCTGTTCACTAGAAAACAAAATGAACAGATTGCGAATTCTCATCTATAAAAACTCATACTTCTGTAGATCTGATACCCTGTTTCACCAATACCTGGCTCAATGAGCATACCTCAGAATGAGAACAACAACTATGGTGAGTCAAAGAAATTGTCAGTTTTATTAAAACCTTTAATGTCAAACATAATCACCGACTGGTCTGTTGTCACTCTTAAATCCCTCTAGATCGGTTCCTCAATTCCAGCTTCTATTTCAATGTAACCTTCCACATAAAGTCGTGCCATTACTTTCAAGCCCCTTTGCTGGACGCCTTGCAATTTACTTACAGGAAAACAAATCTGTCAGTGAATGATGCAATCATTTTGGGGCAACGTTTTTAATGCTGTTCCACCTTGAATAATCGGAGATGTATGCCAGAATCCTGTAGGTAAAGCTCAGCTTGGGCTTCAACACCATAAGCCAAGCCTTTACCAGAAGCTCACACATCCAGCAAAAAAGACAGCTACAACAGAATCTGTTCCTTTTCTCAGGATGCCTCTTTGATGAATGCTGAACAGAATGCCTAGATAAGCAGTAATTCAACCATGTTTCTTTCTTTCAAAAACACTGTATGTATACAGATAAAAAAAAACATGTTATATATTAAAATTTTAAACATCTTAATTGAAATCAAAGTAGAATGAAAGTCAAATAATTTTTTTGTGTGCAAATAAAGCTGATTCTGATTAAGAGTTACAAGATGAACAGAAAAAAAAATTCCTTTACCTACAAAAAAGTACACACATTTTTTTCAACTTCAATGATGAACAATATTGTGACGAGATGATCTTGAATAATATGGAAAGGTGCCTTTGAATGGGAGCACTGAGTATTCTTTTACCTTGTTCAACATGTGAAAGGATGAGTCTGGCCAGCGTCACTTTAAGAATCGATTCTCCATGACCAGTACACGATACAGCACCACTGATGTTGTCTGCATATGCTCCACAGCCTTATTACCAAAATAAAAGATAAAGAAAAAGTTTGTAAAAATAAATAAATAAATAAAAAATAAAAATGTACACTGTAAACATAGAAAAATTTTAACTGTAAAGTTTAAATAAAACTCTAAAAATTATTCAATATTCATTGATGCTACTGTACTGCATTATAAGTTTAGTGACGAAAACTAATTAATAGACATAAAACAAAATAATAAAATGCATATTTTTCTGATTATATGGAAGCAAATGTGTCCATTAATTAATGTAAATTAATTAATGGAAATATTTGATCCTTTGCATAAAAAAGTCAGCAATTTGTCTGATTAAAGTACTAAAAGAAATCCTCCACAGTGCGTTTTCAATTTCTTCTCTGAGGTTGCTCATTTTTTTTAAATAAATCACTTAAAAAAAAAAAATACCTAAATGTATTTTTAAATGTGAAAATTTGAGAAAATCAAACTGTATTAACAAAAATGCATTTTAAAGTTAGAGTTGCATAATTTAACTCATGGATAAAATTACTCATGCATTTTTATTAAGACTGCTTATTTTGATTCCTAAATTATATGATAAATAGATTAGTATTTAAACTTTCATTTCAAAAAATGTCGCAGTAACTTAAATTGAATAGGTGCAATTTAAAATATGGAACTAAATGAAGTCTAGATTATCTACTTGCAATTTCATTTATTAGTCAAAAACCATACAGCTTTGACTTTAAAATGAAAACCGATTTCAATTATTGAATTTTAATTGTGAAAACTGGACATTTGAAACATATTTTTAAATGAAAAAAAAAATCTTATTTACATATTAAAAATTACATGTAAAACATTATTTTGTCGCATTTTAATTGATTTACATATTGAGGAGTCTTGGAGAAGGAAATGAAAATGCAGTTTGGATGATTTATTTCTAATTTCATTTATAGGTAGAAATGCAGTGTAATGAATAAGGTATTTCTATTTATCTATTTTAAAAAGAAAATTGGGACATGTTAATTGTTAGAGTGATAATTATAAAATTATTGTGTGGACATATGAAACATTGAAAGAAAGAAGATGCTACATTTGTATCCTGTGATTCAACTAGAAGGGTCATAAACTTTTATGACCTCCAGTAGGTCATGAGGCAGAATCACACGGTTGTGTGACTTCCATCCAGCCAGTTGGTCAATTCATTATTACCTGCATCCTCACAAATAATCATTACTGGGTCTTCTGTTTTAGGCCCGGCTTATGATGTTGTAAACTGTTAATAAAAGGCTTTGCCATGAAGGGATCTGTGTGAGAAGGTGCTGGTTTCTGAGCCGACACCTTCTCTCCACTTCTGCAGAGGCTGACGTCACAAAACTCTGTCTCTGTGTTGATTATTTCCTTTTAATCTTTTAAACTCACATTTCTCTGGATTAAAACCCAACATTAATGTTAATAACATACCAATGACAGGAGAATCTCCGACTCTGCCAACCATTTTATGTCTGGTCCCTCCAGTGGATGTTGCACATGCAACGTTCCCTGCAGAGTCCAAAGCTACAGCCCCAACAGTATCGTGGGCCCTTGAATAAAAAAAAACAGTTTATTTCAACTTAAAAAATGAAATTCTTACTCCATACACAGAGACAGGTTTTTAAATTGGCCCAAATCCTCTACAACATATCAATCTTCATTACATCATTGTGTTCAATACCACCTTTGCAAATAATTGTTTGATTCCAATAATTGTATGGCTATAAAATTTGCAATTTGACATGATACAATTAGTGGTACTAAGATGACCTTTTAATGTCCTTTATTCCCAGAATTAATACAGATCTTTCTAACCAACATTAAAAATCTCAAAAAGGGCTGTGGAGACACTGATCATAAAAATAAGAGTATGATTGTCACAAAAAAAAATACAAATATAATAATTTAATGTTTTTGTAAAATTACTAGGGCTAAAAAAGTTAGTCGGATTAATCAATTATTGAAATAATCTGAAACTAATTTAGTAATCGATTAAATCATTAACTGGAGTGTGGAGACTAAAATATACCTTTAGCTGACAGGACAACCCATTAAGAGCAGTAATTATACCACTATTGCAAAAAAAAAAAAACATTTTGCATTTAAGATAAAAATAAATAAATAAATTTCGTCTCTCAATTTGCCCTATCTGAGCTGCTGAGTGGAGCAGTGGACAGCACTGCTGCCTTGCAGCAGAAAGGTTCTGAGTTCAATTCCTGGGCTGAGAACTTTCTGCACGGAGTTTGCATGTTCTCCCTAAACAAGACTCTTAGGTGAATTGGCTTCTCTAAATTGTCTTTAGGTGTTTGAATGAATGGTTGTTTGTCTCTGTGTTGCCCTGTTCTGGACTGGCAACCTGTCCAGGGTTTACCCCTCCTCTCGCCAGTAGACAGCTGGAGATAGGCACCAGCACCCCTTGCAACCACTCTTGGGATAAGCGTGACGGAAAATCAAGGGATGGACAGAATATGCTCTATCCAGAATTCCTCAAGTGGAAAAGATTTAGTTTCTTTAATTTAATAAAAAAAATCTTTGGCCATCTGATTATTAATGAATTAATCTAAAATTAATCAACAGATGAATCGACTTGCTAATTAATCGTTAGTTGCAGCCCTAAAAAGTGCACATCCCTAGTTGGGCTGAAAGTCTTCTATAGTCTAACTTATCTGTAAAACTGTATGTATTAATAGATATGCTTCAGTACAATTAAGTGTCAAAATAACTAGGAGAACCCATAAGATTAATCAGAAGGATCATCTAATTAACCACGTTAGACTGAACAACAATAGTTTAGAAAAGAGCATACCACTGTGTGTTGAATTCTTCATTTACTCCTGCGATGTATTTCTTGTGTTTTTCCCATTCCTTCCTCTCACATTCAGTCACCAGTTTATCTGTAGGAACCATGGCGATCCCGATGCTCTCTGCAAACTTGTTTGCACCTCTGCCCGTCAGCATTACATGGGACGTCTGGAAATTTCCACAACAGCAAATATGTAGAAGAAATGTTAAATCTATTTAAAAGAAAAACGATGATTATAAGGAATGGCCACCATGATTTTGGATTCTGAGCAGTGTTTAAAAGAACGTTTGTTGGATGTCTGGGAGTGAGATGGATCTGGTGGCAGAGGTGGCAGCTAGACAAACCAGTTGAACTCACTTTCAGGGACAAAAGTTAACTGAAAATGTCTGAAATGAGATCATGTTGAGCAGATTTCTGATTTATGCCTTTAAGAAACTTTTATTATGCATCTAAATCTCTAAAGAAACCTCTCTCTATGAGGAACTACAGAGCACCTGCTCAAAGGTACATAGGCCTTCTGGCCAATGAATGAGTTGAAATGCTTAACTAATGTTAAGTATTTCTGGATTACACTTCTGGAACCATTACCACATAATCTATGGTAAGTGGCAGGCTTTTATTCACTCATTACATCCTAAAATGGGATGAACCGATGATGCTATTGTATTTTTCCTTTTAATGAACAAAGATATTGGAAAGGATCTCATTCCATCGTGCCGGTGTTTAAACCATAATTTCAATTCTGCTTTATCTTTCATTGAGACAGAAACAACAGGTTAAAACTAAATAATACAACAAAAATAACACAACCTTCTCCATGACTGCCCTTGCCAGTGACACAGGGTTAGCGATGTTCTTTACGCAAGACACCGAACCAAAGGCAAGCGTCTTTCCATCCACTATAATGGCATCCAGCTGCACTTCTCCAGCAATGTTTAGCGTTGCCCCATGCCCTAGAGGAAAAGGTTTGAAAAAAAAAAATAATAATGTGTGTTTGCAGAGGGAAATATAGCAGAATCATGTTGTTTCAGCTACAATTTCCTCTCTTGTCCACCAGGCAAGATTAAAGCTGATAAACAAGAGAGGAGAGATGTGAGCAATTAACCACCACTAATAGCCTGCTTCACCGTTCCTTGTCCAGATCTATAAAAATCTCCAGTCTCCAAACTTCAAATGAGTGTTGCTGCATTTAGGCCCATACAGTATTGTATTGTTATTCATTTGATATGTATGGTGATAAGCTACTGATGGCAAAATTGGTAGCATAGCTGCTAACAGCATTTTTTTCAAATCCTGACCTGGGGTCTTTCTGCATGGAGTTTGCATGTTCTCCTAGTGCATGAATGAACAACGAAGGCAATGAGAGGAAAAATGAAGTCTTAAAGAGTGCATTTCTTAGTAGTGGAATTTAAAATATTATGAATACATATGGAGATTATTAAAATATTATTAACACAAAAGGCAACACTGTTCCTGCAGGAAAATAAGGAGTAGCTTATCAGCAAACAAGTCAATACGTGAGTCGGCTTTAATGCTGTATTAAAGTTATATTCTCCAAACTACATCTATTTAATGTAAAAAAAATATATAAATAAATGTGTGTCTGTGCACACATTTATCTATGCAGGAAAAAAAAAAGATGTAGCATTAAATCAAGATAAAATATAAAATGACACTTTATTGTCCCACAATTTCCCCATTGTGGGACAATAAAGGGATTTTCTATTCTATTCTAAATCTGGGTTAGGCTCCAGTTATCAGCTGTTGTTACATTCAACCTTTTTCAACTGAATTAAACATCATTCATTGGCTTTGTATTAACAAACATTGGATAATATGAAGGTAAACCTTGGCTTTAAAGTAATATTTAACTTAACAATTGAATGTATCCTGCAACTGTCCAAAGTTGGTTTATGCAGCAACTTGCGACTTTAACTGGGAAACCAAAAAACATGGATATGTGGGGATTTACCCCCAGAACTTATCTTGATTCCTCACTTTCTTAAATTAGGGTCCATGTTTTTGTTATTCGATTTTTGCTTTAGATTTTAGATTTAGAATGCAAATGAAAACCAGATCCCTTTTTCAATAAAGACAGGGCTGATAACTAAAAAAAGATTAAGATGTAGAAAATATTTTGCGGTATTTTAAACTTGGACCAAATAGACTCATATGTGTTAGAAAAATAAATACAAAACCTGTTCTTATTTGTATTTTATACTTAGTCAAGGTCTCTCTTAGAGTTCATTAAACAGAACATCCATTTCCAGGGGCTTCTGTTCAGTTTTGATTTAATCCAAAGGGAATTGCTGAAGATAAAGCCTGTAAGAATCCCCTGAGAGAAATATTAATAACTCCACTGAGCTCCAATAGATATCAGTAAGAAAACTTGCAGATGGAGACAGTGTTCTGATAAATTTGAATAACAACATAATAAAGTTATTGTGATTTATTTTCTACATTATTCGTGGATGAGGCATTCAACGTGCTGTGAATTCATACCAAGTAGTTTCATCTGATCCTTACGTGACAAACTGATCCGTTTTATGTACCTGCATTAAAGAATGGGTTGTCCTCCAAAGCCCTAACAGCAGCCTCAACAGCATCCAGCGCACTTCCTCCACTTCTAAGCACCGACGATCCATGCCGTGCAGCAGCTTTTACTCCTTGAACAGAAATTGGGGCCAGCTCGTCTGGAATGGCCCAGGCACCACCATGAACGACCAACACCGCTGACATATTTCAGCTCTTGCAGGATAAGGTGAACTCTAAAGTATAGGGTGTATTAAAGACACAAACAAGAAAGTCAAAATAATTCCAGTACATTTTCCATCATATGTATGTGGCGTGATGCATATTATACAAGTGATTCTAATTTATACTGCACTTCTTCAACAGTTGATATACTCGTGTCAGTGGCACCTTTGATCAATGTGCATAAAAAACTACAATGTAGCTACTGATAGAAAAAAGCAGCAATGAACTTTGAAATTTGAATTGAAGGTATGTCATTTATCTACGGGAACAGGTGCATTCCTACATGTTTTATAAACCACATCCTAGAAAAACGCACCTTTATTATGTTTATTATGGGTTTATTTATTACCAAGGCAAGTATTAGCAGTGCGACCTAACTTATATGCTGGAATCAATATACAATTAGATACATTCAGGCATTACTATTTAACTAAACACTGTGTGTACACAGGATTCAATTCAATTCAGTTTATTTATACATCGCCAATTCACAACATGTGTCATCTCAAGGCAATATACAGTTCACCAGATCATACACTCAGATTGATTCAAAGTTTTCTATCTAAGGAAAACCAGTTGATTGCATCGACTCATTGACTTGGATGCAATCCCTCACGCTAAGCATGCTTGTAGCGACAGTGGAGAGGAAAAACTCCCTTTTAACAGGAAGAAACCTCCAGCAGGACCAGGATCAGTGTGAGCGGCCATCTGCCGAGGCCGTCTGGGGTTTAAGGGGATAAAGTCTACCACATAAAAAAATAATAAAAATAAGGGCAGACCTAAACATTCAGGCCTGGGTTTAACCAACTCTCTCGTGATTGTTTCTGTTATAGTGAATATCTTGCTATTTTGCAAGAACCACATTTGTGGTGAAACATTACCTCAACATCCAAAAACAAACAACACTGTAGCTGTCACTGTGATCCTGATAAAGATGGGGGTTTGTTTGGAGCAATATTTTGAGTAGATTTTTTAAATTGACACTGACCGTTTATTAATAGATGTCCTTCAGTTTTTTTTTTTTTTTTTTCATCCTATCTCAATATAACAAACTGGTAAATGGTAAAAGCTTGATGGAGTTTTTGAAATGTAACACACAGCTTTACTTTTTTCACTCTGTTTATAGATAAAATGATTTTTATAATTCAGGACCAAAGGAAGCAAATACAGTACAAAAACACTGACTGGAAAAGTAAACTAGATACAACAATTTGCGTTTATAATAAATGCAAACTTATGATGGTTATGGCACATAGAGCTGAATCACAAAGCAGGACAGCCAATGGTCCACCATCTTTATGAAGGTAATAAAATAAGGGAATTCGTATTATAAATTCATGACCTTTTTCAAACTATTTTTTCCATAAATGCCTTGTGATAGTGTAAATGCTTAGCAATCATTCACCAGGTAAAATCATAAGATCTTCCCCAACAGGTTAAGTGGGGCTTTAGAGTAACATCTGGAGACTGATGTTGGCATGTCATTTGAACATTCTAATGTTTAATTAATTTAGCATAAACAAACAGCAGAAACAAGAACACAGATAATATACTAACATAAAGCAGTAATGAAAGCAGAAACCACCCACAAAGAAAGATAGACGTTTGATCCCACTTTGTAAAAGGTCTTAAAGTCTGCACAATGGCTGTACTGATCTGCGCCATGTTAAACATTAAATAGTTCTAATCCTACTTTGCAATGCATTTCGTATAGTTTATAGGCTACAGAAGCGAAAGTGACATTTTGACGTACCTGTTAAGACTTTCAAACCTCTGAAAGAGACGGTTGGTTGAAACCCTGAGAGCGCGAGATGGATTTGACAAATCAAACGAGTTGAATACTGACGTCACGTTTTATGCAATCTTCCGACAGGACCATTTCTAAATGTGCAGGATTGTGCATGAAGGGATTTCATGCACAATCCAGCAAACAATAACTGCTTAATAACTGGAGCAGCAAAAAAAAAAATAAAATAAAAAATAAAAAAATAGTAGTGTTGTAAATTGAATCCGCTATAAAACACTCAACAATGCAGTGTTCGAAGACCAACAAAATATCTTTGGAACACAAGAAAGACATGTGTACAATATCTTCAGGGAATTTTTGTTTTTCTAGGCCAATAAAATTATAGCAAAATAAAGAGAACTGGCTGCAAACAAATATGATTGTCACTTTATATTTGAGAGAGACTCTTGTGAAATACAAAAAAAACATAGATTCTAACTTTAGAGGTCAGAAAAAGATTCTCCAAAAGTCAACTAGAATTTTTACAAATTTCAGCCTTGTTCGAATGGTATGTGTAGTGTTGTATTTTCATCAGTAGAGGGCGTGATGCTATTGACATCGTGTCTTATTGGTACAACTGTGCGCCGTTTGAATTTGTAGTGTTGCTCTTTGACCACTAGAGGTCAGCACAAACACGTTGAATTAATAAAGAAATGACTGGAAGATTATAGAGTCGTAGCGAATAGAGTTCAGGTCAAAATAGAGAAATAGATCTTATAAATAAATGAATAAATAACGACTTCCAAGTTTAGACTTCAACTATCCATCAGAAGCTGCAAAATTCACAGTTACAGCACAAATAATTAACAAAGTAATAATAATAATAATAATACTGATGATAAATATTGATACTATGATAATGTAAAAAAAAACTGTATGAATAATTGTAAATCTATATGATTAAAGTGAATGGAACTATTTCAGTTTGCACCTAAATGTCACACTGCTCTGTTCTATTGTTTAGACTATGTTGAAACACAGGCAGGGTAATAATTGAGGAAACACAAAATGATACATATGCTATTCTTTTTATTTATACCTGCTCATTTAGAGCATCCTTCTACTGCAAAAAATAAAATAAAATGAAAAAGTAAGTGGTAGAAAATTGCATACTTTGGCAAAACAGTTTCCAAAACGGAGTGCTCCGTATTGTCTTCAGTGAAAGAAAGTAGCCTGTGTTTTTGTGTGTGGGTGTGGTTCAACAAATAGGCTATTACACTCATAGCAAAAAATACCCTGGCAGACAATGTCACAAATGCAGTAAAGAGTATAAAGCTGACAGATCATACTTACAGACAATACAACCACCCCCATGAAAAGCCTATCCAGGAACTCCTTTTGGATGATTTCTGCAAACATCATATACTAGGAGGAGGAGCTGGGATTGACTCACTGGACAGAGTTTTTTTCATTCTTGCCCAGGAATGCAATGAAAATCTTCATACTGATCTGGAATGTTGCAGGGGTGAGGGATATTATCTCAATGACATGATCTCATGCAAGTAGAACTCAATAGATAGATATATCCAATAGGAGTCTGGTGTGTAACTGTGAGGAGTATCAATAATATCTCCATGCAGAGATTCCCATGGGAATTCAGCCTAGTGCAAAAATAATCAAGCATATTTTATTGGTAATTATTCGATTCCCCCTAAAGAGAGATGACATGTCAATTAAAGATAACATAATTTTGAGGTTCTTTAAAACCTTAAAAACTATTTTAAAAATCATGGTTAACAGTTCATATTCATGAAATGTTCAATTTACACAGTCATCCTGCTAGAGGAAGAAACGTGTATAACAACAAGATAATTAACACATAACTGCGAAACGTTTTGTCTGTTGGTTTATGATTCCAATTAGCAGGAAGACATGACTGTAAAGGTCAAGTGGAGCTAAATTCGTCGATCACCAGGCTCATCTGCTTAAGGCTCATTGCTAAGTGAGTGAGGCAGGCAACATGTCAGGCAGGAGATGACTCTCAGCTCTGACTTAACATGATAAGACTTGGGAAGCGTTTTACATTTGACACTTTGTGTTAGTATACATGTCACTGACATCTATGATGCAGCTTGTTAAATCTAAAATGGAGCATTCATGTTCTTACTAGGAGATGGGCACGTACATGTTTTAGAAATTTGCTTAAGCCACCTTTTTAGTGATATGCATTTAAAAAATGCGTAACAATATGAAAAAATGATAGACTCTCTTTACCCTCTTACCCATAAGTAAAATACAAGAGAAACCAAATATCTTCGGAAGTCATCCTTATAAATTTCCTCATCCCGCCTACCAGTCACATTTCAATATAGAGGGTCCAGGATTAACTTTTAGTTAAGCAAGCATGTGACCTCATATTTTATTGTTTATAACACTTTGTTTGCAGTCACCATGTGCATTAAATCTTACTCCAGCACAGCCAGAAGCAGCATCAATTGATTGATTGACCTTATTAATCTCATAGTGGAGAAATTTACTTTAATTTAAGTTATTGCACAGGGTATCAAATAGCAATTGCACATTATACCATCAAATGATGGCAGGTAACATAAACAGATTCCCCTTTATATAGATAAAAATAGATAAATATAGATGAAAGTTTATATTCTTTTGAAGCTGATGTTGTAAACTTAAAAGTTATAGTTTCTAGTCTAACGGGCAGGAGATCAAAAGCTTTTATTTTAATTATATGTAATATATTTGAGAAATCAAGCTTTGAGGGATCCCTACTGTTGGGTCAAGGAAGCAATAGCTCAGTTTGCCAATTCCTTGGTTCCTTTTTAAGGACAAGCAAAGCTTTCAGATTCAATTCAATACAGTTCACTTTATCTATATAGCGCAAATTCCCAACATCATCTCAAGGCAATTTACAGTTCACCAGATCATACAGTCAAATTGATTAAAAGTTTTCTATCTAACAAAAACCAGTTGATTGCATCGACTCATTGACTTGGATGCAATCCCTCACACTAAGCATGCTTGTAGCGACAGTGGAGAGGAAAAACTCCCTTTTAACAGGAAGAAACCTCCAGCAGAACCAGGCTCAGTGTGAGCGGCCATCTGCCCAGGCCGACTGGGGTTCAAGGAGACAGAAGCAGAGATACAAAAAGCAAGAAATCTGAAGTTTCAAACAGAGTTCAGCATGACAGAAAAAAGACCAAGGCTTGTTATTAAAAGTAATAAAAAATATTCCAACTTCATATGTGAAAGTTTACGGAATAGTTATTAAAAGTGATCCTAAATCAATTATAAAATGTTGACTGATTTGCTACAATATAAAATCGGTCAGAAAAAAAACAAAAGTTAATTTGTCTCCTAATTTTATATCTGACAACATTCTGCCTCAAGCATCAATTTTTTGTTGTAATTGAATGAATACATTCAGACTGTGAATGGTTTTTATTTTATTTTACTTTTTTTTTTAGCAGCCATTTATTTTGCATAAACAAGTGCGATGCTCATTGCACAGATGGTTGATGCTCAAAGGGAACCTGGCTGATTCTTCCTCAGCACCAGTCCCGCACAGAATATAGCCAATAATGTTGCCAAGGGGCGGGGAGAGGGGGGTGGGGGGGGGGAGCACAGGCTGCAGACCCCCTGAGTCTGATGAGAGTCTGGCGGCTCTTTTCCAGAGGAGAAGCAGCGGAGATGGGCTCACACCTCTGATTCACTCTTCATCCTTCAGCTTATTTATTTTTTCCTCAAAGACCTGGAACGATATAATATCCAGAAGGGTGTTTTTTAGCCGCTTCTGTCCAGACGGACGGATAGACTCCATCTGATCGCAGGAGGAACCAGTTTTAGTTGCATTCCGACGCTTAGTTCTCACCTAGAGAAGAGAGGCGCGCTGCGATCATCATGCACCCAAATAAGTGCTTACCTGAACTGATGGCCGAGAAAAACAGCCTGGACCCTTCCTTTGTTCACGCGGTTCGGCTTCTAGCAGATGGTAAGCAAGGTACAGTAGGGTGTTTCTTTCCATCTAATCTGCTCTAACAGGTGCTTCATAGCATGTTTACGATGTTACTCTTGTCTGTAAACTAAAAGCTTTACTTCAGTTCTTATGATTGCAACTTAGATGTCTTTACTTCAGAAGTTTAGATTCATTCAGCTAAGTAAAAGTGTGCAAAGCCAAAGACTCATCACCTTGTTTTCCTCCAAAAAGTTTGACTAAGAGTCAGATTTGACAAGAAAAGCTGCTGCTGTGTTTTATGCTTGGCTACAAAGCAACCAACAATGAACAGTTCACACTAATTGTAATGATGGATTAAAGTTAAAAAAGATAATCTTTCGGATTTGACAAAAAAAACCAACAGAAACTTACCACACATAAAATATTTAAATTTTTTTTATTCAACCTTTGTAAACATTATAATACAATCAGCATTATAATTGAACAGTATTTCAGAAGGGTAAACAAAGACTTTGTCTGTTATACATCAGTTTTTAAAATTGCAGTGTGTCAAGATTCCTAAAATTATTGCTGCATTTTTCCTTGGCATGGTTTGGTTATTAGTATCAAGGCACACAGAGCTTCTAAAAGCTTACAGTTCAAAAAACAACAGAAAAAAAGGATCTTAGTTTGTTTAAACTAAATTTGTTCTGGGGAGAGTGATGAATTGGCCAGTCTTCTCTTTGGGATGTGGAAATTTAAGTAGCACTGCCATCCTCCACCTGTTGCTGCACACTGCCAGCTGGCTGGCTGAAACATGGCAAAAAAAATTTTTTCCAGTTCCTTAACAAGAACATATAAATTCATTCCTTTGTAGATATTTCCTTTTGCAAAAAAAAAAAAAAAAAAAAAAAAAAACAGAGCAGGTGCAGAAACTAAAGGAGCCAATCATTCCTATTAAAGCTTCACTTGGCAACATATGAAGGGAATGTGTTTATGAGAAAGCTTTAAAAAATTTTATAAATCCACTATGAGCAATTTTTTCCTATAGTTTGCTTAAAGCAACACTGAGATACAATTTGATTATTTTTTAGGTCAATATACAGCACTTGGCATGTATCAATGCTCCACACTTGCTGCCGTTCTTTAGAACCGTCCTTGTCTTGATGAGCAACTTAATAACTCCCCGGTGTGCTGGTCCAGAGTGGTTTGCTATCAGCTTCCAAAACAAGGATGGAGACAGTTTAATTTTGCGGACCTGGAGATAGGCCAATATTTAATTCAGCCAATAATTTTGGGTTATATACTTTGTATCGGTATTGACTGATACATGCATGTGTTGGATAATTCATAAGTGCATTCAGCAGCCGTGCCTTGAGATATTGCTGTTTCCTAATGTTTTGTTGTTTTGTAAATAACTGTCTTTTCTTTATTTATACTTGTGCAACATTTATTATGATTGTGTGCTATCTTTATTAAGTATACGGAGGAAGAAAATGCAATATCAGCTCTAAGAATGGGCCCAAAATATTGGCATCATATATCAGGGATCAGTTAGACTGATTTTAAAATAATTGGTATTAAAACCATGAATCCGTCGATATACAAGTAGCAGTCACCTTCAAGGGAACTAAATAGGTTGCAGGTGGCTGAAAATTACAAAGTGTTGCTTTAAGCCCTGTTTACTGGTGTATTCGTATTCCAGGTTTATGATTAGAGCAGCACAATGCATCAAATCTCAAATTCCTTGCATTTTCAACACGTTTAATGTTGCAGTCACAATATGTTACAGCTGGGTTTTCCCAAACTTTTAGTGGCTTAGATGCTCAAGTTCAAAAAAGTTGGGATACCAATATCTACTTTGTAAATAAAGAGGTGAATATATTATATAAAACAGTTTAAATATAAAAATATCACATATGTAATAAAAAAAAACAATAAAAAACATGGCTTTTGATCTTGAGCATCCTTTAGTTGTACTCTAAACTTGTTAATCTTCTCATTCATAAGACCTGTATTTTTTTCATATTTTCACATATCTGCTAATATGAGTAAATATGTGTTAATAAAACTTGCATATCAGAGTGTTAATACAAAAGTAATGTTCTTTAACTTGAGCTTTCCTGCTGCAATGTGTTGATGAGACACCTTACAGTGCGGCTTTGGCACTCTCTGGAGTGCAGATGGGATCATCTGTCACATGCTACATTTTGCCAGATTTTCTCAAGGCTGACTCACAATGAGATAACATGTCAGAGACCATTAATATGCTCTGTAACGCCTCATCAAATGGCGTTTTAAAACTTTTTTTTCGTAAATTTGCACTTCAGTCAACCATAAGCTTCAATATCATATGGTGCTTTACAAATAGATGTGTAAATATTATATAAAAACAGGCAGCTTTAGGGATGTGTATTTTTCTCACAACTGTTCTGAAAGTTTCTGTCGAATAATATTTGGCAACCTGCTCTGGAAATGCTCTAAAGTTTGTGCGGCTTAATCTAAGTTTACAGCATGGATTTCTCCCTCTTTAACAAAGCTCTTTGGTCAGCCTTTACGCATTGATAATGCAGAATCCTGCATACCTGCGGGCAGCGAGATAAACTGCTTTCAGCAAATTATTGATTCAGTTATTTATCACTGAACAGAAAGGCACATAATCCTGCATTATTCATACCACAGACAATAAAACACCAAACATGGATTTACTGTGGTCTTAGTTAAATCACCATATTTATGAAATATATTTTTCATGCTTTGTGAACAAATGATACACTCTGCATAATCATTTGTCTATATTTGAGCAGATATATGATGGGTTAGGGATGAGGGTCATTCATTACCCGGCTGGCATGTAAGGCTGTGGGTGTGTAATTGCATTTCTTGCGTTGTAGAAACTGTTTTATGTCTTTGTTATTCAAAGTGACAATAAATCTAGGTTACTGAAAACATCTTTAAGAGATATTGGCCATAACTGTCTTAGTATTCATTGAATATATTTGTCTGTGGAAACAGGAGTCTAATGACTGCTCAGACTGACAGATGAAAGTCAGCTCTTTCCTGCACTTCTTTCTTCTCCCTAAATAACACTGCAGTTGTTATTTTATAGTGGGTGGAAGTCAGAGACAAGAAAGGCGAGCCATTAATAGATCCCACAGGTTTTCCTTGTAAGACTCGCCTACATGCTATGTAAGAAAACCAAAGGGATTTCTAATAAGCAGACAGGGAGGCAGACAGGAAGTAAAAGACATCTAGATGAGTAATGACAGTTGAGGATAATAGCTGTTTTATAAACTTCATTGTCTGCATGTTTTAGAGCAACGTTCTGTTATGCAGCCCATTATGCTGCAAACAGACTAGAAAATATGGTGCTGTATCTGTTTCAAAGTGTTCATACCTCTTGAGATTTTCTGCTTCCTTGCAAACTCAACTTTATTGTGAATTGGTTGGGATATTATGTGATTGACCAGCTTGAACTAATGCTAATTGTTAATTGTTAGATAAAAGTCTTAAAAGTAAGTTGCAAATTTCCATTCACCCTCTATTTTGTAAACGCTGACTTAATAAAGTCCACCTATGTCTAATTTCATTTCAGTATGAATACATGTATTTGGTTAAGTTTACTTTTAAAATAGAAAACAAACTGCATAAGGAAGAACAGAACTAACAGCAGACAGGTCAGGAGTACAATTGCAGAAAAGTTTAAACAGCATCTCAAGCACTCAAAGCATTGTCCAATCCATTCTTTTACACCAGAATCTTAATGATATTCAGAATGTATTAAATTAGACTGAAAATTTGATGTAGGCTTTCTAGGATTCTCCCTGCAGATATTTTGGGTGTCTTGGTTTGATATTTCTCAGTGTCCCCTTGCTGACCTCTAACTCCCAGCTGCATCAGACAGAGATCCACCCTGTCTGAGTTTGATTCTGCTGGAGGTTTCTTCTTTTAAAAAAAGATTTCTCCTTATTTTTGCCTTACGAAAATGATCAGGGCAGGGATTGAATAGCGTTTCAAATTAAATAGCATTTTCTGGTTACCAGTTTCGTGATTTTGAAATAAATCTACTTCTAATGAATTTTTCTACCACTCATCAGTGCTTATATAGAAAGATGGAGTTTATAAATGCTGGAAGTAGATTTGCATATGTTTCTACAAGACATTTTATCTCTCAGCAATGAGAATTATTGACCCTAATTTTGAAAATTGCTTCAACGGCAAACTGTGGCTGCTCACACTTTCATTCATGTGAAACCAACATATTTTTCGTATAATATTAGCAGTGAGAATATTGCATCACTTCATAAAGCTTTAAGCTCAACATTGCAAGTGAGTCTTTTTGTCTGTTTCCTTGTGCAGGGGACGCTACAGCAAGTCAAGTTGCACAAAGATTAGTTTTTACACCGAATGCCTTTTCTGACACAAGCAGGATTCAAAACTCAAGTCCCTTTTATGAAAGATACAGGCTTAGCCCATTACACCACAGAAGGACTTTAAAGCTTGACATTAACCTTTAAATATTTAACTAAGCTTATTTTATGTTTGATTTAATGTTAACTTGTGATGGCAATGTCTGGATAACAGAGCATTTACAGCAAAACATCCTTACAGTATGCCTACGCCTGAGCTGGACCTTACTGAGAAACTATTTGAGGAAGCCATTCGATTTTTTAGTCTTTACATCAGTGGTGGGCTATGAGGGCCTTTAAAGTCATCTATGCTGGCCTAATATCTATCAGAAACACTAATTTACATTCACAATCTCAACTTGGATTTTCTTCTTTCCAACTGTATTAATTTATTCCAAACATTCTGTTCTCTAAAAAAATAAAAATAATCGTATTGTTTCTGTTTATGTTGAGATGAGAAACTGGAATAAAACGTCAGATCAGACAGCACTCAGCTCAGCTTGCATCCATCAGAATAACTTCACCCTGTCAAGCATTTACAAGCATGCTGATCGGATTGTCAGTCGGCATACACCTCTCACAGTCGGATTCAAATTTTTATTCTGATCCTCGCGAATCAATCAGAACATTTTGTCATGTTTACATGACACATTTTTA